GAAACGTGCCAAACTAGGTTTAGGTTAACCTTGGGCTGATTGGGCTTCCCTCGGAAGTTGGGCCTAGGTGACCGGCTTCTCCATTAGGCATGGAGTATGCCACGTGTCATGACATAATAAGTCCAGGGTGGACGAATAAGCGTGTGCCACGTGGCAAGCCCTGAGAGGTCCAACTGGGGGACACTTGGCAGGACCTGATTGGCCCACGTGGAGCATTCCGATTGGTGGGAGCAAAATCCCCTAATTACCTAGCTTCCAATCAGGCATAAGATAAGGCTCAACAAATGCAGCACAATAGCCACTACACCAAAACAGGTAGAAGATATTCATCAATTCTGCCACAGGCCGACAACTCCTCAAAACCCGCTTCAGGAGCGGTATCAGTATTACAACATTACCCCAAAAAAATTGTATAACATCATCCTTACGACCCTCCTTGGCCGGACTTATTGCCACGTCGTCGTTTTGATGAGTGTTTCTTTGCTTGCACTTGCGCAGGCTGAGATGAAGATTCATGGTATTGAGTACTGGTGCACCCGACGGATCTCCGTTTTATATGTCCAAACCAACGCAGGCGAGTTTCCCTTAGTTTATCTGCAATTCCTGCCACACCTACTTTCTTGCGAATAACCTTATTTCTGATTCTATCTCTTAGAGTGTTCACACACATCCACCTTAATACACTACTAGAAAACAGGCCATTTCCGACGAAATTTTTCCGTCGGAATCACCCTGAATAATAATAATAATAACGTTGTTTGTGACACCCTTGTTGATTTTTGTTTTCGGTTTGAGATTTCTGCAAGAAAGGAGGTTAACATTGGGTTGACTGGAGGGAACGACGGGGCTCTTCGACCTGCAGATGTACATGTGTTGCTTTATTCCTGGGATAGAGGCCTTGATGTATGTGTTCACTTGACGAAGTCTTCTCCTTTGACTCAATCTGGGTTGTCTGACTTCGTTCCTGGTGGTGTTGTGTCGGTTGCGGCGCAGCGGAAGCGGGACGAGTATGGGGCGCGTTGCAGGGCTATTGACTATGGTTTTCTTCCTCTCTCCTTTTCTTCATTGGGGGAATTAGAGAAGGATGTTGTTGCGTTGCTGAAGCAGGTTCAGGTGTTTGCTAGGACTCAGGATATTGGTGCTCGTGCAGCTGCTCACATCCGCTACTAGAAAATAGGCTATTTCTGACGGAAAAATTCCGTCAGAAACACCCTATTTTCCGTCGAAACCCGTTTCCGACGGAATTTCCGTTGGAATCGGTTGTCAGAAAAGATTTTCACTACTATAAAACAGGCTAATTCCGACGAACTTGTTCTGACGGACACGAAATTCTGTCGGAAAAAGCATAATTCCGACGGATTTTTGTTCTGTTGGATATTTCCGACGAATTAAAAAATTCCATCGGAAATCCGATGGAAATAAATTCCCTCGGAATATTTGTAATTTCCGATGGAATATTCTGTCGGATTTACAGTCCATCGGAAGATTCCGACGAAAATTTCTGTCGGAATATTATTAAAAAAATAAATAAAACCTTTTCCCAAACCCTACCCAATAAAACCCGCCCCTCTTTCTTCTCCTGCGCCCCTCTCTGTCCTCTTTCTCCTCTTCTCTTCTTTCCCTGCGCCCTTCTCTCTCCTCTTTCTCCTCTTCTCTTCCTTCTCCTGCGCCCCAATTTCTTCTCTTCTTTTCTATACTCCTCTCCTCCCTCCTTTTTTCTCCTCCCTCTTCCTCTCTCCTCTGCCCTCTCTTCCTCTCTTCTTCTTCTTCTTCTTCTTCTTCTTCTTCTTCTTCTTCTTCTTCTTCTTCTTCTTCTTCTTCTTCTTCTTCTTCTTCTTCTTCTTCTTCTTCTTCTTCTTCTTCTTCTTCTTCTTCTTCTTCTTCTTCTTCTTCTTCTTCTTCTTCTTCTTCTCCTTCACGCCTCGCAACACTTCACGCATGAAACATTAAAGATCAAAGTAAGGTTTTTCATGTCAAATTCGACCATAAAAACCCTAGATCTAGAGTTTTTATGGTCGAATTTGACCTTTAAAACCCAAATTTAAGCTAATTTAGAGGTTTTGATGGAGTTCAAGTAAGTTCTCTTTTCTCTTTCTCTTAATTTGTTTCGGGTTTGAAATTGTGGGTGTTGATTTGGAATATTCGATTTTTTTTTTCCGATTGATTTTGTTGTTTTTTCTTGGTTTTTTTGGGTGTTTTTATGTGATTTTTGTGGGGGGTTTTTTTCCGTAGTTTTTTTTTTTTTTGTGGTTTTTGACGGTTGGAGGTGGGTGGTTTAAGGCGGAGGTGGGTGTTTCACGGTGGAGGTGGGTGGTTTATGGCGGAGGTGGGTGGTTTATGGTGGAGGTAGGCGACATGGGATGGGTAAGGGAGGCAGGGAATGTAGGCGGGTGGGGCTGGGGTGGTAGGTATCTTTTTTTTTTGTAAAGCACTTTCTAACGGAAATTCCGTCGGAATTTTCCGGTGGAACTTTTTCTGTCGGAAGTTTCCGACGGATATTCCGGTGCCGGAAAACCTCTTCCTACGGAAAAATTCCGTCGGAAATTCTCTCGAAAAAGGTCATTTTTCCTACAAAACCTCTTCCGACAACCGATTCCGACGGAATTCAGGGTGATTTCGACGGAATTTTTCCGTAAGAAATGACCTGTTTTCTAGTAGTGTTTGTAGGAAAAATGACCTTTTCCGGCCAATGGATTTCAGGTGTCGCAAGAGATTTTCCGGCCCGGAAAATTCCGACGGAATTTTCGTTGGAAAAGACAATAAAAAAAACAGTCCCACCCCTAAACCATACCTCCTCCGCTCCTAAGCCACCATCAAAATTCTCCCCACCAACACCGCAATTCACCCACCACCACCGCCTAAATTCACACCATCACTATCAAAACCCCCCACCACCACACAGATCCACCACCAAAACCCGTAACCCATAACCGAAACCACCCCAACCAAAACCCCACCCACACCAAACCGAAACCACCCAAACCATTAACTTACCCAGCACCAAACTGCACACCGACCCCAACCATTAACTTACCCAGCACAAAACTCACACCAGCCCCTACCTTACAACAACAAAACCACCACACACCACCACCATTCCAAAAATTAACCCAAAAAACCCCCCAAAAAAGGAAAATCAACCCCAAAAAAACGAAAATCCCCACAAAACCGAAAATTAACACAATAGAATAAAAAAACACCACACAAAAAAATCAAAACCAGTAAATCTACATATTAATCAGAATTTCATTATAAAAATTAAAAAAAAAAAACTATAATTAACCAACGAAAATTAAGAGAAATATATAAATATACAATTGTCTAATAAAATTTATAAACTAACCTTACAATTACATGCAAAATTACTAGATCTACACTCTAACCTAAATAACAAGATCTACAAAACAAAAACCTTGAGACTGGGTGACTCGCGATGGTGGTTGTTGGCTTTGTTGTTTCGCCGTTGTTGTTGTGGTTGATGTTGGTTGTTGTTGTTGACGGTGCTTGATGTTGGTGGTGAACAGAGGGAGAAGAGGAAAAAGACAAGAGAAAGAGGAGGGAGAAGGAGAAGAAGACCGAGAAAGATGAGGGAGGGCAAGAGAAGGAGAAGAAGACCAGAGATAGAAGAGGAAAGAGAAGAATGAAGAGAAGGAGGAGGAGGAGGAGAGAGAAACAGTGGGCGGAGCTAGAGAAAGAGAAATAAGAAGGAGAAAGAAAGAAAAGAGAAAAGATGAAATGAAGGGGGAGGGCATTGGTTCATCTCATCATCTGGTAAGGGGTTTTTTATTTTATTTTATTTTTTATAATATAATTATATTCCCACGGAATAATCCGTCGGAAATTTCCGACGGATTTTAATTCTGTCGGAAATTTCTGACGGATTTCCTACTGATTGTTATCGTCGAAAATATCCGACGGCATAAAAATTTGTCGGAATTTCTGATTTTTTCGATGGAAATACGTGTCCGTCGGAAACAGTCCGTCTAAAATCGGCCTATTTCTTGTAGTGATCTTCAATAGGATCGGGTTCGCTATAGCTAGAGGGGTGGGGCCCCAGCCCGACTCCCCACTAATTTCTTGTAAATCGATTGACTTTGTAGGTTTTTGTTATTTTTTTTTTATTATAATAATAATTAAAAAAAATTAAATCATGATAAAAAGATAATTCAGGATTTCCGCCTGAAATATCCGGATGAACCAAGGAGGATACGAGAGATGAAATGAGAGTGAAGTTACGAGAGAGTTGTGATATTTTCAGAAATGAGAAATGAGTGTTGTGAGTGTCATGAGTATTTATTTACGAGGGGTAAATATGGAAGTTTGTATTAAAATGCGAGCGGTACCTTGTAAAATGGAAGCGTTGTTTAACAACTCCCTAACTTGCATTGTAGATATTAGAAGACTAATTATGGTCATTTTATCCAATCAACCGCTGTAATTCAAGTATTGTATACAAGTATTCATTGCAGTTTCCACTTCTTCTGCGTTTAACAAATGCTTCGTATAATCTATAGATGGGCTTTGATCTCTCTTTATATAAGACCAGTCTCTTATCTCTTATTGGACCTATCGATGTCCCAATTCTTATTCATTCCCCTAGTTGATTGCCAATATAAGCCCATTTCGTTATCTTATTTTCATATGTTACAATATTAATTTTTTTCTTTTTGGGTTTAAAAAATGTTATTGCTTAACCATGTAGGAGTGACCAGTAAAAAAACAACTATGTAGGCGCATTTTTTTCTTTTTGGGTTTCCTAGAGTGACGTTTGATTTATAGCTATAGTAAAAATTACCATGAACAATAAATTTACCATGTTCTTTTGTGACTGTTCTTACACTGTGATTTCTTTATGGAACATCCAAATGTTTTTAAATCTTGTTACCTGCACATCTATAATTTAGGCATACATAACAGTTGCTTCTGGAAAAACCAATGAATATATACTACGGACTTAATCTAAAGTCGATAAATAGCAGGAACAGAGGACACGAAATAAGGAAGTACAAGAGAACAGAAGATTTATATATCTTTATGGTTTGTTACACATGATGTCAGTTTCATTAAAAAAACTTACATAGTGCTTCCAAGTTTCCAACTCCTAAAAACAAAGTCATAAACTACAAAGCCAGAAAGCAGAAAATTGAGACAACTTTCAAGCTACATTCATAGGAAGAGCTTAGCTGTTAATCAGAATCATATTGAAGGCTGAGTTTCCTTTGGAGGATGTAGTTAGCAGCCTTAAAATCAACACAATCATCAGCAGGTGCTCCTAAGTAGTTACTGGACTCCTCAACTGAATCTGGCTTGTAAGAGTTATAACTGTCTCCTGTGATGAACGAAACTTTTCGTGCCATCTGAGGTTTGGCATCGTGGTTGACAACATAGTCAACCAACGCGGCAGTTGGAAACGTCTGATTCGGCCTCACATATCTGAGAGTCGATGAAGGTTCTGTTGCTCTGAAGAAGGATGTCCTGACCACTCCCATCTCTGCTATTTTTTGTTGTGTATGTGTAGTGTATACTGATGTGTTTACCTTTGTGTGGTTAGCTTCTTCACTAACTGGAGGGGGCCTTAAGTAGTGAGTTTTTGGTGCATCTTTTAGTGGTCCATAAAGTTATTATAAAGATAGAAATGAAATATATTCTTTCAGGTATGAAAATGACGGTTCAACTCAATTGGTAGGTTAATGTTCAGGGTGGTTAAATGATTTTTAATTAATCAAAGTTTATCTGTTTACAGAACTTTAGTGTTTAAACAATTAGGAGAAATGGGGAATCTAGTATGCAAATCATACAAAAGTGAAAAAAAAATATCTAACCGAATCACTTAATGATTCCTTCTAAACGATGGTTAATCCGCGTGTACTAATTATTTATAATTCTGAAAAAAACACTAGCTAGTGTAAAGAGAACATACCTGAACACTTGCTTTTATTCGCCATCAGGGTGATAATGAAGCAATCCTAGTTCAGCTCCTCCATAATCTAGTCCCTTTTCTATAGTTAATTGTTTAATTCATATCTTTAACCATATTTTTAATCAATGTAAGGGAAATGGAATCAAATCAATTAAAAGATAGGATGTTTTTCTTAGCATTATCGTGCACTTATTACACGCGTACTTCGGAACTCTGGGATATAAGGCATTAAAAAGGCTCGATGTTGTCCAACTTTGCAGGTTCCTGTAAATCAGGATCAGTACAGAAAATCTATTCCTTATGGTAAACCCAAATTAAAAATCTGATATTGGTGACAAAAGGTGGTATGTAAGATAATTTTTTTGAAGAACCTCTCTGCATCTGTCTAATTGTAAAGTCACTAGAATATGTTAAGTGGGATAAATTCTCCTCTGATTTTAGAAGCTGACCAAATTAGAGGCAGAGAGTTGAAATCTTTTATATTGGCAAGCATAGAAGGCATATCCACGACTACATGAGAAAGTGGCTCACCCTTAGCTTTAAACTCTCATGGGATGAACCAAGGATGGAGAGAATAGTATATTTCGATTTATAAGATTTTGTAGTGTTGGTATATTTTGCAATGGACCAATAAGCTTTATTACAAAGAACCTTTTATCCCTTTATTTAGAGGTTAAAAGGCAGACAGGAGATTGAGGAGGAGAAGATTATGAGAGGCCGGGAAGGGAATAGTGTTTAAGGAAAACAATGATATTCTAACAAAGTGACTAAGCAGAGAAAGATGATGTTAACGAATAAATTTTGTGGACTTTTTGAAGATAAGGAAATTCATTACGTTATTGGTGATGAATTTTAAGGTGTTTGCCTTTCTTGAGCAAACAACCGACTCAAAAACCATCTCTTTGGGTCATCACGAAGAAATAAGAACAATTCACAAGTGGATCAAAAGTTTAACTGAGTCAGATTGTTCATGCACATGATCTTTGTACCAAAGGATCCTGGGAGTCTCATCATCAGTATCATCATGGCATGATCCTTTCGTGGCTCAAGGATGCAGAATAATGTCAGAAAGCTTAATTGGGAAGATAATTCAAAATAAAGTTCAAGATAAGAAAGATTTTGATGGGGTCTGTACCAGTTGTATTTCAAGATTTTAATACTTGTGATCCATCATATGTATATTACAAAAAGGAAAATCGTTCAATATGAAGTATTAAAATTAACAATTAAGATGGCATATGCTGGAAAAAGAATTTTGGTGGCTCACTCGAACTTTTGGACTTCCATTACAAGTTACATATTAGACCTTAAGGGAACTTGCAATAATTGAAGTGTAGAACCAGATGCTGCTAAGAAAGAATTGATTGGGATTCATGAATTATCAACAACCTTACCAGGAGGAAAAAATACAGATGCAATCAGAAGGAATCCTTAACTTTTGAAAATACAAGGCCTGTGATTCCTGATTTTTCTATTTTTTTTTTTTAATCCTGAAAATCAGAAGAGTCGAGGCCAAGTAATGCAGATTAGACAGTAAGATTGTCTTACAGCATTTGTTATGCCATTAATTACAAACCTACTCGTTACCTCCTCATTGGTTTATGCCTCAAGAATTAACTTCAAAATCTCTTATCAAGAAGAGAATTTTGTGGAATTGGATTATTTGGATAGTTCTATAGCCAACTTTCCACCTTTTGTGGTTTCATACTATGATTAGTTGATAGAGTTGTACACAGGTATGTTTCAGGTTCGTATTAAAAAAGGATCAATTTGTGGTAAAAGCAGCTTTTACACAAATAAATACTCGTATGTATTTATATAAATTTGGATAGTTGTACAGCCAACTTTCCACCTTTTGTGGTTCCTCACTATGAGGACTTGATAGAGTTGCACACAGGTATATAACAGGTTTGAATTAAAAAAGGATTAATTTGTGATAAAAGCAGCTTTTACACAAATAAATACTTGTATGTATTTATATAATTGTCTTTTACCAGAGAAACCTTTAAAAGCACCTATATCCAAATTATGGTGCAAAATGAGTAACAAAGACAACTAGTTATTACCATAACCTCAATTTGTATACAAGGTATAGCATAATGACTCGGACACAGTATGAAAGAACATATCAAAACTCTGTGGCCCTAGATGTATACTCACTCTGAATAAGTGAGTTCATGCCTAAAGCGTGCTTTAACTGAAGAAATGTAGCTTGAGGCCTTCATGTCAACTGATTCATCAGCAACAGCACCAAAATAGCTGTCCAAATGATTGACAGAACCATTTTTACTGTCAGGGACAAGATACGAAAGTGCTTGGATTGATAAAGGTTTTCTGTCCTGATTAACAAGGTAACAAACTGAAGTAGTTGATGAAGGTTTTGGAGTTTGGTAGAATGATGGGATCAGCTTGACCTTCATAATGGAAGTGTATTCAAGTTAAACAATTCTTTGAATTGAAGTTTAGATGCTCTATTGTACACTTGCCTTTTATAATGATGTATTTTATTGCTTAGGAAGCTTGCCTTTTATAGGGTTCTAAAACTGCACTCTGTATTTACTATAAGCTAATCAGATTAAGATGAATCCTACAAAGATGGAGGGTGTTTTATTCTATGCACTTTCAGTTCAAGAATGGTCCACTTGGATTACATAAATGCTAAGTCTCCATGACATGAGGTATTTTCACTCAGCCAAGCAATGCAATTATGCAATGCCTTTTTTAGTGGTGGAAAAACTGAATAATCTTATCATCTACGGAATGTACCATAATGATTGTGCCTTTTTTTTGAGGTATGATGTTGATTACAGGCCAGTATAATTATCTTCAGTGACACTTCTAGATTAAGTCTTTCAAGTCTAGAAGTAAAGAAAAGAAATTAAATTGAATCATAAACTTATTATTAGCAGAATCTATCATTTCATATTTCATATTTGCAGCAGCAGATGAAAGAAACATTTCAAGACAGATCATTTTCATATTTTCATTATCAAAAATTTGACAGTTCCTGCTGATACTTTGTTTTTTAAATTAGGTTTATGTACGTGTAACTTTTTCTTTTTTCCAACATGAAAAAAATCTCACCCTAACTTTGGCACAGAACTGAATAACTCAGAACAGTATTGTATAGATTCCTTCAATCCACTACCAAGAATTATCGAAATTACTTGGAGATATTTGACACTATCAGTTAATGAACCATCTAATATATCTCTAAGTCATATTCAAGAAGACTAGTCCATACTTTGGTTTCAAAAAGATTTAATGGTCAGTGTACCTCTGGAAAATCACAAGGTAGGAGTTGGATGAAACTCGTGAAAGGGTCTCTCTGACTCTGTTAATTAGTGCCCAATGTTCTTCCTATCTTCACATAGAAAGCATTTTTCATGTACAATCAGTCAATATGATCACCATTATCAGAATTCAGCAACTTGTCCAGAGACCAGAGGTCTGTCATAGAGAAAATTTGTTGGACTGCGAACTATTTACCTCAAATTCATTGATCTGTATCTGTTCATCGATACTTGTTAGTTCCTGCAATGAGCTTGGTGTCAAAATGTCTCTTCATATATTTGTGGAGCCAGCATTAAGTGACAGAAATAAATTCAGCAAAGATTCCACAGTTCACATTCATTATTTATCAGATGCATATTACAATGTCTTTTCTGTTAATCATATTTTAAATCAAAATGTTTAGCTAGTTCAAAATTTTAAACTATGGATAAGGGAGGATTATTCCTATACTCCTTTATAGATATGCCTAATCCTAGTCAAATAATTTAATACTATGTGGTATGGATAACACTCACTAATTTATTACTTTGCTATTTCTGCACTTTGAAGGCTTTCAAGGATAGAAAGAAAACACATTATGTACTTATGTGTTAACATAAGTGAAAGGAATGCTTCTTTGAATTGTAGGCTGTTGGAACCTCAAATTTAGAATTTCCTAAATCTGCAATAATAACAATTCTAAGGAGGACTTCTGAAAAGGAATTTTAAAATTTCTTCTTAATAGTGAAGCGCATGCAAGTGTGTTTGATAAATTTAAACATCTAGCACAAGAAATTTTACGACAACTGGCGCGAAACTGTTGTGCCAATATTTCTATTTTCTTTATGGTTGATTTATCTGGATCTATGCAGTTGATATTTAGAAAACAAATTAATTCATGAACATGAACCAACCTAGCATTTCATGACTGTTCAATGGTCAAAAGGAAGATTGAAAGCAATTCTGTGTCTGTATTGATAAAGGTTTATGTACCAGCTGACTTACAAACAGAAGTAGTAGATGAAGGTTCTGCAAAATAATTTGAGTTAAAGTCTATATATACTGTTCATATTTTGTTGCAGAAAAGCATGCCTATATAGGAGTCTGCTGCTGCAAGACTACTTAAGTTTACCGGTTTAGATTGATCCTACAGGGATGGAGGATGGTTAGCTCTTTGTAACTTTGACTGAAGGGTGGTCCAACCGTACAAGGAAGAAAAAAGTATCAGTTTTATTTGATATATTAATCAATCAAGCAGCAATATACTTCGTTTAAGATACGAGTATATATCTTGCTTCATAAATAACATATAACTTTTACGCGGTCAGAAAGATTGGCCAGTAGGATTAAGTATTTTTTTAAGGCATACTGTTGATAACAAGCCAATATAATACTTTTCTAGTTTTCTGTAAGACAAGATTTCACCTCAATCTTTAGTTTAATTATTCCAAATCAAAAGAAAGGAAAAGAAACAGAATCCAGCACAGTATCATAAAATTGCATGATATTTCCTTTTTTTTTCAGTAACAGGAGCAAGAACCACTAAGAAAATATTATGTTTTTGTTTGAAACTATCTGTATGCTTTAGATTCATTTACCCTTCCCATCTATCCCAAAATAAACTTCCACTTTGACTCTGACAGATGCAGAATTTATTCTGTTAATCTGTTTGTTATTTCTCGTATGTCCTAAAATAAATTTCTTCTTTGACTTAGGAACAGAACAAAGCACACGGAACAGTATATTATAAAATTCGGTTTAATCTACTTATAATCAATAACCCTCCAAAGATTTTTGACCATGCCCCCAACTTGTGTACAAGAAATACAACCTATTGGCTTATACAAGTTATACTGCAACAAGGTGGAATAGAGCAAAATGCACGAAACAGTATATTATATTTTCAGTATTGTTCATGGCCATATCAGCGGAGGCAATTTGTATGTCTGAGACAACGGGAGTTACTATCGTTAGGTTTCAGCAATTCAGCTTCAGCAACTTTCACAGCAATACACATAAAAAAGATAAGACTGTCCAAACTAAATTTATTGGACTGCTGCAAAACTTGTTTCGTATTTATTTGACTTATTATTCTCCCTAATCTATCCACATTAGTTAACAGTAGAGCATCTGTTGGTTCCATGAACTGTTTACTGATATATTATTAATAAGATATTTATCATGTTAGTTAATTATCAAAAACTAAGCACAGGAGATTTGCCGAATCCTAGTTGTACACTTTGTTAATTGTATAAGTGGATTAGATAACACAGAATAATTTATTATTCTGCAATTAAAAAGGCTTTTTCACAAGATCAAAAACATGATATGCATATCAAAATAAGACATTAGACTCAATTCTTCTAGTATAAGATAATTGTATTAGAAAGGCGCTTTAATCTTTATCCTTTTATTATACTTGAAATTATAAATAGTAACAGGCTCAACCAAACAGTAACGAAATTACATTAAAATAAACCCTAGCTTATCTCAATCGGTAAAATCAAGAAGCAAGATAGTACAATACACTCCTTTCGTTTCATTTTATACTCTAAATACCAAATTGTGCGAATCAAAAACACCACATTCATCACAAACGATAAATTAAAATTCGATTCGATGAAATCCATTCAATTACTGTAAAATTTACAAGTAAATAATCATCAATTCATAGATTAAAAAACTGAAACCCTAACCTTTGCACTCGAATGTCTGCCGAATCTGATTGAGAAGGAAACCATAGGAGTTTGATTTTGAAATTGCCGCGAAAGAAGTTCGTCGACATGAAACGCAGCTCCAAAAGGCAAAATTGATTTTCATTAAGAAAATATAAAAGGAAAAAAAACTCGACTCGTTTCATTTTGCTTATTGGGCGTGCTACCTTTTGTTATAGGCTGTTACCTCTAAAATTGAGTTATGCCCATAATAAGCCCATTACACTTTAATTTGTCGAATGGATCACACACACGGACACACCATATAATCATACTTCGTATATAGTTCCGGTTCTAATTAATTCACACGTTTTTTTTAACGATTTTTTCACTATATTCCCCCGAGTAATTTGTTTATTTATTTATTTTATATTTATAAAATATTTTTAAATTCACCATAAACACTTAAGTTTGAGGCCTTCCAAAGGGAGGTTTGATAGGTACCTGGACATACATATCAAGGGGCATAAGAGACATTTCACATGAAATTTACCCATTTATCTCCTCCTTTCTCTCACCCCCATGTGCTGAATTTAAGTGTACCACTGGGTGATTAATAGTATCACTAGATGATCAAATAGTATCATTGAACATTCAGTGGTACTATATATTCATTCAATGGTACTGTATATTCATTCAGTGGTACTAACTACGTGTAGAAATAGAATCACTACATAGTCAATGATATTATATAAGCTTTCAGTGGTACATTTAAAACTGGTCCCACATGCCCATCTCTCTCCTCCTTTTCTCCCACCCCCATGTGCTTTACAATACTTTTCAATATTTTAATGTTTAATATGTATTTGCACATACATATCAAACCTACATTAGTACTTCCTCACCTAAGTTTTACAAAATTGTCACCAACTCCGTTAGTCATTGGCTAATAATACCACATGACAACTTCTAATTGGCTACTATTTTAATTATTTGATTATTTATTTTTTTTTTTTTAAAAAAACAACCACCCCAGCCAGCCACCCCCACCCCCCACTCCCGGTTAAGTGGCCTGAACCCCCTTGCCTCTGCCTTACCTAGCCCTCGATCAGCCGTTGCGCAGCCTACTCCATCCCGCCGGACCTCCTCCTCTCATCCCCCCAGCCCGACACCCCTCCTCCCATTTGCCCCACCCCGACCCCAAACCCCATCCAAAACACCCCGAAAATACTCTCCACTCCGAGTTGACTCCCTATTCCCAGTTTTCCGGCTCCTTAAACCCTAGGCCCAACCCAAAACCACCCAAAAAACCAACCACTTAAAAGATGGGTCGAAACTTAGGGTTTTGGGGGTTTGGATTTCTAGGTGGTTTTGGGTGGGGCTTAGGGTTTGGGGGCCGAAAATAAGGGGCGGGGGCTCGATTCGGAGAAGGGGCTGTTTTCCGGGGGCTTTGGGGTGGCGATTGAGGTCGGTGAGGCAAATGGAGAGGGGTGGGGCGTTGGGGTTGGGGGAAAGAGAGGAGTTGGTTCAGCGATGGTCGACCAAGGGGATCCACGTGGATGGGTCTAGGTGTCGACGACGAATGTGGGGCAGGGGGTTTGAGCGCCGGTCAGGATGGGAGGGTGGCTGGCTAAGGTGGTTTTTTTTTTTCAATAATTAATTAAATAATTTTAAAAGAAAACTAATTAGAAGTTGCCACGTGGCATATTTAGGCTTAATGATTAACGGAGTTAACCGCCGTTAGTCATTAGATTAAGGGCATTTGGTGACATTTTTGTGAAACTTAGGTGTATACAGTTAATTCAAAAGTTTCATGGGTATATGATGAATAAACAATTATTCAGGAGTATATGGTGAAAAAACCGTAGAAATAATGCATGAGTCGTTGTAAAAGTTTGCTCTATTACATAAATTTGAAGAAACCCGACCCAACTAAAACCAACTCTCTTTGACTTGGGACCACTTGAGAGTGAGGGATAATTTAAGTGGTTACAACTTTCCTCCTTATTTCAAGTGATTATGGGATCGATTTTTATCATTCACCCTTATGGCTCTGACTCTCTAAACATGAAAAAATCGACTTGGGAGTTGGGACCAATTAATTGCACCGAAAAGTGACATGGCCCCGCCATTTCCTGCTCATTGGCTCGCTTAACTGCCCATACTATTACTCAGTCACTTTGGATTCTTCTTCTATTTGGCCAATTAGGGGTACACCGTGCAATCACTCAACTATCTGTCAAAATTCCAAAATTACAGTTACAAACTCAATCAAAATCCTTATCTTTTTTTGCCGCCATCATTCTCTGCAACTCAAACAATCAAACCATAATCTCAAAACCCTAAAATCCAACTCAAATCATCCGAAATTCAAGGCGACAATGTCTAGAAACGAAGAAGATCCACAAATCAGGGTTTTATACGACCTCTGTTCTATGATTTTTCACATTCTACGGTATCCAACTCCGATCACACTCCCTTTTCCGGCGACGCTCTCGCCGGAAAATTCGTTATCTTCATCATCAATCCGTCGTAATACGACGCCGTATTACCCGACACAGATATCTCCGGCGTCGTTTGCTTGTTTGTTCTTGGGAATTTCGCTGACTTTGATGATACTTGGATCAGTGGCGTTTCTGATTGGATTTATATTGATGCCATGGATTATTGGACTTGTTTTGGTCTTCTATTTTGCTGGGTTTCTCTCCAATTTGTCTGATTTTGGACGATCTTTTCTTTGCTGGGCTTTATCTCCCCAACATGTTCCTGGTTAGGGTTCTTCTTTTTTTCAATTTAGGGTTTTTTTAGCCCCTTTTTTCTTGGTTTATGTATATTTGATTATATTCATACTATTTTTGTAATAATAATGTTTGATTTTGTTATTTGATTGAATTGATGTAGATATATGGTTCATGTTTTTATTTTGAAGATTAATCGAACCTGTTTTTAAGTAATTAGCTGGCAAAATCTCAATTTTATACTATGTTCGCACTCGCTATGCTCAATGTATCTTTTTCGAGAATAGAAATTGGAACATTTTGATTTGGAACAGAATATCCAGTTTCAAGTAGTGTTCTGTCAATTACGTATCAATCAATATCCGATTCACTTGGTTGATCTGAGGTTGTCGACGATAAGTATCTGTTTAGAAGGCTTACTTTTGGTTTATATGCTGGAATTGCTAATGCAAGTTTGTGTAGTTCTAGTTTTTATTGAATAAAGAGAGACAATATTTGGATCTGAGTCTTTTAAGAAATTGAAGTCCATGATTGAGCTTCTCAATTTTAGTTCCTTCATGTGCTCAATTGTTGCTGTTCTATAAACTTAAGTTTGGTTGGCCACAGTGCATGTGCTAATTGTGTTTTGGTTGCATTCTTTTCAGCTTGGAAACGCTTATAGGGACGACGTGGGTTGTCAACTGTAGAGAGAACTTTTGGGTTGCTGAAATGCAGTTGCTGTCTCTTGTCCTAGTATATTAGTGTTGTAACTTGTAAGAATATTTTTTCCCTTAATGAATACTAGATGACTGGTTTTTGGATTTTCATACTCTTGCTAAATATATGCATTTGTGATAATTGGATCATTTATAAAATATGTCAGAAACAGCTATGTGTTGGGTCTGCTGGTAGTGTTTCCTTGACTAGTGTTTGAACATTCTCATTCTTTTCAGCTTGGAAATGCTCATGAGGATGATATGGCTGGTCAATTGTAGAAAGTCGGTTGCTGAGTTACGATGGCTGTATCTTGTCCACATATTAGTGTTGTAAGATTGTTTTTCTGCTTAATGAATGCTAATTGACTGGTTTCTGCATTTTTTATTTTATTGTGAAACATATACGAAGTAAATATATAGTAATTGCTCATTTAGTTATTATGTACACCAAAAGCAATTGTACAAGCCAAAGGTTGCTGTTCTGTAATGCTGGAAGTAATTTCTTGGATACTGTTTAGACATTTCTGTTTATTTGACTCTGGATTTGGTGTTAGTGGTATATTCTGGATGATTTAGTGTTGGATCACTTGGATGTGCCTTGTTTTGGTTCGGAAGTCCGAATCAAAATACTAATAAATGAGTTGGTTTTAAGTTTTTTTTAAGGTCCGAAGTCAGGTTCTGTTGTGGTAATATTGTCTCTTAAACTTCCTTTAGCTTTCTTCCCTGCCGAGACTTCTCTTTTGATCAACCTTCATCATTGTACCTTTTTATTGCTTATCTCTCTTCTTGGTACTCATTCGGCTACAGATCATTTCATTATAGTGAAATTTTCCATCTGTTACTGAACACCTTTACTGGAAATCCTACTATGATTGCTGCTTCTGGCATTTTTGCAATCATGTCCAGGAAATAATTGACTTAACCAAATGAAGTGGCGCTTTGTTTAAGAACATGCAGAATCAGGTTTCGTACCATAAATTCTACTACCTCCTTTTCATATTAGTTGCAACTTTGGAATATTTTATGTCACACAAATAATACTCCAAAGTTGTAATTAATATGAAACGGAGGTAATAAATTCCATTAAGGCGTTTCTGCAATACAAAACTAGTAACTACTAGCTTCATTTTTTTTTTTCTAGAAAACCTCCTAGTTCTTCCGTACGTGTACAACATTCTCTTGGCAACTATTCCCATGCAGTAGTAGACTTAGCCTAAAAGAAGTATAAATGTACAGCTTAAACTTATTGCAGCATATACATTTCATTAATATAGTGTTGTAGTGCTGTTGAAAAGTGTTGTTTGCTGTTTCTTTTAAGATCCGGGGATTTTTATGCCTAGGTTTATTTGGTGATCATGCCTTTGTATTAAACCTTTAAGAGTAGAAGGTTGTGATTGAGTAGAGTTATATAGTGTGAGTGCTGAACGCCCTGAAGGGGCTTGAACACATGAAGGGATGAGATTGGATTTATTCAAAAAAAAAAAAAAAAAACATACAGAATTGATTTACATGGTTCACAGTTCCTTTTCATCCTCGTAGTAAAAGTCACACTTCAGCTGCTCTCGTAGCCCCAAAATTCTTCACTTTTTGTGCTTACTTGACCTGGCATTTGAGATACAGAGATACTAGACACTTACAAATGAAATAAGAAGTTAGCACCAAGGTCCACTGCAGATGAGCAGACAGATGAGGGGGTCTGCATATGAACAACATAAATTAATTACTTTAGACCAAAAAAAAAAAAAAATACACCCAATTTTATAGCCATATTTCTAACTACTAGACGGGGCTTTCAGACCAAAAGAATAGCAAATACAATCAGATGCTATGTGTCTTGGACTCTTAGTTTCCTGGTCATATGCTACTGTAATAAAATGGCGATGAGAGCGAGAAAGAAAAGTGGAATAAAAAAAATAGAGAGAACAATTGTGCCTCGTTTTGAATTTCACTGAGAACTATTACCTGGTAGCTGGAATTCCATTCCTGGTGATAGCACTACGCTCAATACAAATGCCAGCACCACCAAGGATACTGCCCAAAGTGCCATTTGTTCTGTAATCTTGGATTTCTCTGGATGCAGTGGTTTCTGTTCTATTAAGAAGGGATAACTAGATCAGGAAGAAATGGTCTATGGAAATACATGGGTTCAACTCTAGCACCATTTTTCATTCTATATTATTTATATTTTTCTAAAATAAATTTTTTTTTATGTTATTTTTTTTGGGGGTTTGAAGTACCTTGAACGGCCTTGATTTCTTTTGAGGGTTTGACCAGATTGCGTGCGTGTGTGTGTTGTAGTTTGACTAGTTTCCTTTTGACCTTTTCAACGTAAGTGAACACAATTTGGCACAAACCCTTAAGTTGAAAGGTAAAAAAAACCCATCTCTTTTTCTTATGTTTTAAGGTTTGATTTGTCCAACTTTTTTTTTATTACAACACCACAAGTGCTAGGAAATATCTATAGTATTAGTTTTAAGATATTAAAAACGAACTACTAATTTTATTTGCATATTGCTACTTTATACTATAATGCATTTTCTCTATAGTAACATTTCTTAAAATTGGTTTGATTTCCTTTACTTTTACTTTTTTTTTTTTTTTTTTTTTTTTTTTTTTTTTTTTTTTGTCTTATTTAATTTTTTATTTTCTACGGTCAATTTAGATTCATTATTTGGCTAGATCAGACTTAGTTTTTATTTTTCTTAGGTGAAAGGTTTTGTTACTCTGAACAAATTGGTCTCCTCTTTTTTTTTTTTTTTTGCCCCTCTATTACAGTTTGAACAAACTTCTCTGAATCCCCTAACTATATTAAAAAAACAGAGTAGAATCTCCTTTTCCTCTGAATATGTCAAGTATGCTTTTGTTGTTCTGCTTAAAATACTTTCACAATTATATATGTAAAAATGCTATGTTTTAATGTTTTACGCGTCTACCTGGCTGATTTGTAAACAGTTAATAGTATCAGGCTTATATATGCTATTATGCTATTGCTATTACCAAGGGTGTTATTTGTTAACACAAACTTTAGGTCAATTGCATCAATCTACAGAGTGCAAAATCTTTATTGTTGTCGTGATAGTTTGTGATTTGCTGTTTGTTAGTTCATACCTCTTCTTGTCGAGCATTACTGTGTAGTTTATGCTTTGTTGCAATTGTGCGAATGTTAAAGATCACAGTATTTCTCAGTAGTCTATAGTATAGAAATTGTTATATCATTAAACATCTTAAAAGGATTACATTTTAGGAGTGCCAAACATCCCTAAAGTAATGGATTTGAATATCAACAAACCAATAAATGACAAATCAAAATAGCAGACAGTTGAAACATGAAAATCTCAGCATAGGAGTGAGAACTAGTTGGTGTATATATGGACGCCAACAGCAATTAGGAAAATGGTGATGAGGCAGAAGTAGATGACGGTGTGGACTATTATTGACATCCCACTGGTCTGCAAGCTTCCAAACTCCACTACTCTGCTCTTCCCGGGCAGCTGAAACAGCAGTCCCGGTGTCAACAGAATAAACAGAACCAACGCAACCACCACTGGTCCCCAATCTGCCATTTCTCTTTCTCTGCCTCACTGATTGCCCTGTCTTTTTTTTAGATGGCTTCTTGAGTGATGTATTGATGGTGATTGGTGTGATATTTTGGAGATTAAACAGTCTTATTTATATATACAGGATAGTTTTTGGGCCATTAGATTGGGAGATAGAGTGAGACAGACTAATACAACTTAATTAGTGCTCAGACAAAAGAGGTGACCCAATCTGGAAGGAAACATCACGAGATCAAAATCATGGAACTTGATAGGGATTTAGGATTGATTCTGTACTTCATGGTAGATGACATCCCGTAGAGGGTTACCATCCAGCACTCCAGCTTTTGCTTTTGTCTCAAGTTAGCCTCTAAAAGAAAACCAGTTTGTCCTCATCTAGAGCATCTTCAATGCTTTCTTTCTAAATTTGGTAATACTTAAAAGTAGTTTTATATATAACTAATTAGCTGTTGATTTTGTTTATGAATATTTTGTTTTGTTAATCCTGCTGTCCGAAATCATCTACTTCTTGTTGGCTTATTTGAATTGATAATGTGCCGATTGAGTACCAATAGAGGTAGTTCTAGGCTGCTAGTTTCCAGTAGGTAATGTGGGTTTATATATTTTGTCTTACTAAAGCTTTAATGCACAAAATGAAAATATTACCTCTGTTTGTGAAAAAAAAATTCCTTTTTTCATAGAAACGAAAGTTTTAGGAGAGGAATTTTGGCAAGGAATCGTTGATTAAAGTTGAATAAATAAATGACAGTGAGAATAGTTTATTGTTTTTTGGGGAAATGAGAGAAACTATAGTGAGATTTCATGATTTTGTTGATTTAAATTGATTAAAGAATAGAAGTTAGTGGATGACGGATCTCACCCATATGAAAGACGAGTTTTTAATTAGGGACAATAATTTTTGGAAAAATTAGGTTTTTATTCGGGAATGAAGGGAGTAATTTATTACATGCACATCAGCACCTGGGAAGTAAATGAGTACAAACGAAGGATGGATAAAAGAAGTAGATTCCTTTCTTTCTCTAGTTTAAGTTTCAGTATTCTATCGAATGGAGTGTAACCTTTCTAAGTGGAGAGTCTTTATTAGTAGCATGTATTAATATGAAGACGCCATATTAAAAGTTGGACACAAGGTTGATAGTCTTGATACCATTTGGTATGAGAAACATGGACGAGATCCGTAGTCAATATCTTTTGTTGTTTTACCAAGTAAGGTTTATAATTGGTTGAGGATTCATTTTTTTTAATCTTGAGGTCTTAAGGTTGAATCCTCCCTATTGCTAAGGTTGAAGAATGCATATTAAACTCCTCATTTCCAAGAAAATTGTGAAGGTTGTAGTCTAATTAGAGTCTTTCTTCCTATGTTATAAAAATTAGAATATGTCAACTGCTATATACATGTAAATAGCGTGGTTTTGGCTTAGAGAGTATTATAACTTACCTTTTATAAAGTATGTATATATGTATTTCATTTTCTCGAGTAATGAGTGGCATATAAAATGTGAAAGGATCTTTGCTGTATCTAATCATGTTTAGCTTTATCAATCTTGTTAGACAAAATAGCTTTTGATAACCAGCCTAGTAGCCAACTCAAGAAAAAAGAGAAGCCTTGCCTACGTATTCCAAGTCTTGAGTCCACAACTTTACACATTGCCTGCTGCTTTTTCCGACGATCGAAAACTAAAGCAAAGGCAAAGCACCCATAAAAGAAAAGATAACACACACACAGACAGTAATTCTTAACTATATTGTGAAGCGTAAATTGGAAAAGCAGTTGTTTGATCTAACTAAAGCAAACCCACTAAGTGTTTTAAAACATCTATACCTTTCCTGATCCCTTCCCTCCTTAGCTTTTTTTTATTACCCCACCTCTCTTCTTTTGCTTCTCTTTTCCTTCGCTAGCTTGTCTTCCTTCCCTTCATTCTTATCCTTCTTCACCAAGGAATTCCCACTCATTTGCTCTACATATTCCCTCGGAGTTCTTTCCTTCTCCTTACACTTTTCTAAAGACTACGAGAGAGACAGGTGTTTGCTAGAGTGACACTAAAAGAATTAGCCACTTGAGAGAGGCAGAGGAAGAGTGAGAGCAGGAGTCAGAAAAAAAAAGAAAAAAAAAACAGAGAGAAAGATGATGGTAGATTGGGGGCCGGTGGTGGTGTCTGTGGGGCTGTTTATATTGTTGTCGCCAGGGCTGTTGTTTCAACTTCCTGCGAGAACAAGGATAGTGGAGTTTGGAAATATGAGCACCAGTGGGATTTCTATTTTGATCCATGCTGTTATTTATTTTTGTATCCTTACTATCTTGACTATTGCCATTGGCATCCACATACGTTCTGGTGTATAATCTATTAAAGCTCCCTGAAGTTTGGCCATCAACAACAGCTTTGGGTTTTGTTATTTCTTTACTTCTTTCTCTCTTACCCAACTGTAATTTCATTTCCTCTTCTGCTTCTAGATACAGAGTTGTAAAGTTTTCTACATCATATTTAAGGGAAGATTATATATTTCTGAGCAGCTTGGAAAATAACTTATTTGAGAGCAATTTAAAATGCTAAATTGTTATTTTAAATTTTGCCATACAGTTCCAATGTTCTAGTGTCCAAAAGGTTGCTCTTGCTAATTATTTCAATTATTATACGAATAAATTGCTAATTGCTAGACACCATAATAGGCTAATGCCTAATGGTATATGCTTATTGGATCTAATATGATGCAATATAATAATTACTAATGTAATATGCTGTACCTTAAGTATCATATCAACTACACTAAACAAGGCTACTAGTTTGGGGAAAAAAATGATGGTTGAGTACTATTCATTGATTACAGAGTATTATGTACTCAGTATAGCTTCACCCTAAGATAAAGGATAAAAAGATAAGTAAACTAACGAGAGAGAGCTCAATTCAAGGGGATATGTAATTCTCTTCATGTGACACAAACAAGGCCATACAACACAAGTAAAAGGGTAAGATATGCTATGAAATGTCAGATCATGGCTTTGGCAAAATTATTAAAGATCATAAGATTAGCAACTTCTGAAACCAAAAAGTTGGCATAACCCAAGAAGCCTCAAGCTTTGGTAATTTTCTATTTTAAGTTCACTGATAAGTCTTTTTACATAGCCAATATGCTATGAAATTTCAGATCATGGCTTGAGAAGAAAAGAAATTATTCTGTTTTTTGTTTTTTTTTTATTTTTTATTTTTAAACTAGAAACACTAAATAAAGTATAAAAACAATGTGTGACCTGATTACCTAAAGAGAAAGACCTTATACTCACCAAGTTGCGAAATTACCAAAAATGATTTTCTAAAATGCTGAAAATGCTTATATTATCTGTTATTTAGTCACAGTTATTGCTATATATCCTCACTGAATCACCACGCAGACTCTTGTTTAATAAAACTACAACATGATAAGAAAAAAAAAAAACTTAGAGAAATAATGCAACTTCTTTTTATAACAATTGCCAAAACAATTAAAAGGGGGAAAAAAGAAAGAAGTTTAATTTGATGATCTTTGCAATTGAAAAAGATTAAGGTCTAAAACAAGTAAGTTTCAGGAAAAAAAAAGTCATTACAGAATAATCATGCTGTGGCAATATTGACTTTCAGCAACTCGAACTGAAGCATTGACAATGGTGTTGTAATAACTAAAGGTTGCTGTTGTTAATAGTTAAGGCTTCATGTCTTAGACATTAGTTGCTTCTTCTAATCCTTTTGTGTACTTTTCTTTTGATGCACCAACATATAACATTGTGCAGACTCTGCATTCCTTGTGTAGTTGTGTAAAGATGTGTCAGACCACGGCTTCTGCAAGAGGAGGACTGAGTTAATATTTTAAACAAGACCCCCTTTCCCCCTTCTCCCCCCCCCCAAAAAAAAAGGCTGAAGAGAACACTAAATTTGAAATTTGCTGTAAAAAAACAAGTGAAATTTAAAATCACCAATAATTATATACCTGCAGCTATGACGGGGACAATGAAGTACTTAACATCAGTAATTGCCCGGACATTAGATCTGTTCTGTTGGGCTCCTTGCTCTGACATGAGTCCATAACGCCATGATTTACGGAGCAAAACCTGAGCATGTTTGATCTTGTGCCAGTCTTCCCCTGTGTGCTCTTTGCAGCGTTTCATTAGTTCTGGGCATTCGCTAATCTCGACTTTTATCAGGGATTGTACATCCTTGATCCCATCTGGAAGTGTTTTAAGACTTTTGCAGTTCTCAATTCGAAGGTGCTGGAGTGCAGTCAGGCTACCAATCCACTCTGGCAGTGCTTTCAAAGCAGGGCAAGCTGATATCCACAGGGATCTGAGACTTGTTACATGTTTCAGCCCCTCCGGAAGGGTCTCCATCTTTGGGATTTCTCGGAGGTTCAAATGGTGAAGACATTTCAACGATTTCCATGGATTTCTTGAGAGTTCATCAAGATGAACTATTTTGCTTGATATCCATATTATGGTGTTACTGTCGCTTGATTTAGTAATATCATTGTTAGAAAAATTGAGATTTTTGCAGCTGGAAATCTCCAACCTGTTTAATGAGGTGAGGTATTTCAGCTCTGACGCCAACAAATGTAGTGCATTGCACCTCTCAACCACAAGCTCATTTAGGACAGGAAGGCCTCCTAGCCCCTTTCTGACCACACTGAAGCTTTCCAGGTTGTGGCATTCCTTAATCTGCAGGTTGTTGATTATAGATTTTTTTGTGGATGCCTTGGCAAGTTCTTGTAACAACATCTGATTGATATTGCGGAGCTCAAGGTCTACAACTTTCTCGAACAAAGGCATAGATATCATTTTTGGGCAGTTCCACATCTTTAATTTCTTAAGTCTAGTGAAGGATCGAGTTTGATCTTTCCCTGGTACCATCAGCTCATCTTTCCGCCATTGTTCCAGGTTGTAGAAGTTGTGGAGGGTAAGTTCTTCAAGACGTGGGAAAAATGATTTGCTGCCATCTTCTTGTGGTCCTTCCACATATTCTACATTAGCCATGTGTCTAAGGGTGAGTTTTCTAAGAGATTGAAGCTTACCAAATGGTGGAAGATGCTTGCATTGGTCACATCCCTCAATGCTGATAACCTCTAAATCGGAGAGACAAGACAACATGCTTTTCTTTAACCAATCTGGAAAGTGCCCCCCTTTATATCCTTCTATGCGAAGGATTCTCAGTTTCGAAGTTGGTTGGAGCTGCTCTAGTAGCTGCAGATAAGATGTATTTTTTGAAGCTGTTTTTGCCCAGCTTATCTTCAATTCCTCAAGGTGGTTTTTTATTTGCCATTTTGTCTTCTGAGATTCGGGTATGTTGGTTTCCCAATCTCCAGACAGCTCGATTTCCAGCCGTCCTTTCAAATTCACCAGTTTATTCAGAACTTCTAGTTCTGTGGAACAGTCCTTGCTGACTACAAACCGACTCAGTGTCTGAAGCTGAGTTAGTTTCTCTAAACCGGTGGGCATGCTAGCCAGGCTATCACACTCATCAATCTCAAAACGTCGAAGATTGACTAGCTTTCCAAAGTTTCTAGATAATCTTTTCAGCCTCAAGCATGAGTTAAGCTTCAGTGTTTGCAAGTTGTACAGTTCTGTAATCGACTTTGGAAGAGTAATTAGTCCATTCTTGGAGAGATCTAGGTATCTCAAATGGATGAGCTTGCCAATGGATACTGGCAATTCCTCTATCCCAAGATCATGGAAGTCCAGCACCCTGAGGCATTTTAACCTGGAGATCAATCTGTCACACACCAATGGACCCATCTTTGTGTCACAATCTGTTTCCTTGACCGAAATGAGTGTCCGTAAATTTCGAGCCTGAACTAGGGATGGTGCAATTTTTGTTGGAGAATCTCCAACGGGGGTAAAAGAATCATGTTTGCATGCTGAATCTGGAACTTGCTTGGCTCTTGAATCTTTCACATATGTATCTAAAACCCCAGCTGTGTGTTGATGGGCCAAGTCACGCATAATGCGATGCATCTTACAGGTCAAAATGTGCCCCAAATCATTAGTGCTCACATCCTCAAAGAAGCAGCGCCGAGACAATTCGAGAAAGTACTTCTCTGCAACATCTTCCAAGCCCGGGTTCACCTGTTGGTGAATAACGTATCCTTGTGCTGTCCAGAGACTAATCAGATCGTGCTTGTTGAAATTAAAATCATCAGGAAACAAGGAGCAATAGTCAAAGCAAGCCTTCAGGTGCGCTGGAAGGGCAGTGTAGCTCTTTTCTAAGATATGGTTCATGATGTCTTTCTTCTCTTTCAGATTATTAGGTATTTGGTCATTGAAAGACACCCAATCTTCTATAGTTTTCCCAAGAAGACTTGCTGCAACCTTTATTGTAAGCGGAACACCTTTGCATTTGTCATGAGCAATTTGTTCCCCTATATGATTGAATGCATTTGATTTCCCTGGACTGTCTGTATTGCCAAATGCAAATGTTTTGAGCAAAGACCAACAATCTTTCTTTTGCAGACCTTCTAGCTCGTAATACTCAACTCCTTCAGATTTTGATAATTTTGCAATTTCTTTAAACCTTGTAGTCGCCAAAATATGACTTCCTCTTGCACCTCCAGCTAACAATTTTTTCAAATCATCCCATTTTTTGATGGAGACTTCCACATCATCTAGGATGAGTAAATAGAGTTTCCCCTCAATCTCTTTTTGAAGTCGGCGCTTAGAGATGTCTTTTTCATTATTGCTATTACTATCGTTTGGAGGAATTGCTGATCTATCATCATTCTGACAACCTAAAAGATCATAAAATCGGGAATGGGGAATGTTGGTGAGTTTGGAGCTTCTGTTATCATTAGACCAATTTGTACAAGACTTAACAATTTCTCGTACAATTTCTGCTTCGTCAGTGAGCCCTGACACTCGAATCCAGATTTTTAAGTCAAAATGACTGCTGACCTTTTTATCATCATACACATACTTGGCCAAAGTTGACTTTCCTACTCCTGGTGCTCCATGTATGGGGATGACAGAAACATCATTTGTAAATTCTGTCTTAGGTCGCAGCAGCATCTTTATGATCTTTTCTTTATCAGATTCCCTACCAATGACTTTGTTTTCAGCAAGCTTGAACTCCTGAGTATGCTCTGTTTCATTCTGAGCCGTTTGAGGCTGATGTTCAGGCTCTGATGTCGATTGCCCCTGAAGCCCAGGCTCAGGCTCGGGCTCATAGTGCAACTGCTTCGTAAGCTCTCCTATCTTTTGGCTTATTCTCTTAACTTGCTCACCCAATCTATTAGGGTAAAAAAGCGGGTTATGACATGAGAATAAAAGGCCAGCCTTTCTAGAGAATCCGCTACCAGTATTTTGCTTGAAAGTAAGGATTTCATCAAGAAGATCATCAGCTTGATAGAGTAAATCCCCAAGATTCTTGAGCATATTGGAATTGGTGTCGTCACTCTCTTGCACTGCTGCCATAGTAATTTTAGCCGCTTTCACTGATTTCTTCAACTCCTCGAGAGGCTTCATTGCATTGATCACCAATTCAACCTCCAAGATTCTTGAAAGGTTATTCCATACAACTTCATCAGCTGCCAAATTTTTCATTCTTTACAAATTTTAGAGGGTTTAATTTTAGTAGCTCAGTTTCTAAGATCTGTATCTTAGAGGTAACAGAATTATCTCTGAATTAATTTTTAGAACTGTTGTTTTACTTTCTTTGACAGGTCATACTCTGTCGGCTCATTTGATAGGCCTAATAATAAATCCAAGTATCTTAAATAAATAAATACTTCGTAATACAGTTTACCCCTACTCTGTATTTTTTTAGAGGTCATTATACAGGCTAACAGCCTGGAACCCAGGTCATTAGAGTTCTTAACTAGCTCTTCATTATTTCAATTGACAATTTGAAAGATACGATGTGAGATTTTTTGCTTCGAGACTAACGTGTTTCTGAAAATCTTGACAGTTTTTAATTGCTTCAATATTCCCCCACCCGCATACCACCACCTTGTTTTCCCCTTTTTTTTAATCAGCAAGATGATGAGCTTCATAAACCAGAATTAACAAAGGTGAATTTAATTTACTCCCTTTGTTTCTTTTCGGAACAATTGACACTTTTTTTCTTCTTTATTAGTGATTATAGAGAGTAGGCACATTTTATCACCATCTAGTACCTCCTTTATTTGTAAATTGAACTCAAATTATCAGTATATCTGTTGGCTTCCTGTGTGAAGTTTGTTTGTTTGTTTTTTTTTTTTTTTTTTTTTTTTTTTTTTTTTTTTTTTTTTAAACACCTAAACTCAATCTATTAGACCTGAATAGCCTTGAGTTTGATGTCATATGCACATCTGATTGGACATGATTAATCCTATAACTTCTCGTTTTTAAGGTGAACAAAACAGAACAGACCCTTAGTCTTTTACTCTGTTTGTCCCATTTCTCTTCTCCCTTCATCCATTCATTTTCTTCCTTTTTGGTAAGAATTGTCCTGTAGTAGATACAACAGAAACAATAGAGAGACAAGGTAAGAAATTTGTGAAAAAAAAAATATGGAAATTGAGCATAAATTTGGGGATAAGCTATATAGGATAATGAGGCAAACTTAACAAACTTGTACATGAGTATTGTGTAGGAAAGTAATCACCTTTTGCGTCCGCATAAAAAATGTTGAATTTGTTAAACTTCTCTATATCAAGCTGAATCTTGAGGGTTGAAATTGATTATTGTGTTTGGCATTTGATTGAAGATTAATGTGGAAGCTTGGAGCTTGCAAGCTAGACTAGATAATGAACAAAAACAACTTATCATGGACTATAACTGTATAAGCAATGAAAGATAAATGCATAAAACACCGAATTACTGTTGGAACCAAACCAAAGCATTAGAAAAAAAAACCCATCAAATTGCATTGTTAAGTAAAGCTGAAATGAATTAGTTATTACAAATCAATCGCACAAATTTGCCAAGTTTAACATCGCCCAAAATGGCCTTCAAGGAGGACTTGCCACCCCTCACTGCAGGGTCATCGTGTCTGGCCTGGTTTTATGCTCGTTTCTGCCAACTTCCTCCTCCTGGTGGACCAGACCTCATAGCACGGGCGTGCTTCTGTTCTGTTTTTGAAGCCAAAGCCTTGCTTTTACTTGACTTATCTATCTTGCCTTGAACCATGTCCACCAAACTACAAATATACAAAGAATAATACATATCGCGTATATAATACTTGTCAATACAGGTGAAGTTCTAGTTGCAATACTAAAGATGTTCAGGATAGTGCTGTAGAGTTCTCTAGCAATACTGTTTGCCTTGGTGTTGTCGTTTGGCTGAAGATCGTCGATGAATTTAGCCGGCATGTTTTTAGTCTTCAGTCTCTCAAACTTATCAAAGGGTTTCAACCCTTCTGGCATTCGTTTTAGGCTGGTGCAACCGGATATTGTCAACTTCTTGAGTTTTTTCATCGACTCCTTTGACACCTCCCATTCCTCCAACTTTAGCAAATCAAACAGTTTGAGATTTTCAAGTTCCGGAAATGAATCTTCCGTTAAAACTTTCCATTCCTTCCCTATAAAGGAATCCTTTGCTAATCTTAGGAACTTTAAGTGCGTAAGCTCCCCTAAAGCCTTCATACTCTCCGATTGTTGAAGTTGAGTGTGATACAGCTCTAATTTGTTGAGCGTAGAAGGAAATTTAAGGGGTTTTGAGGTGTCTGGTGCTTTTCCCATCAATCTCACTTTTATCAAATTACTGTTATTAGTTGAATTCAATGCTTCAAGACCCTCGAAAGAAAAACCATACCAATTCAAAGCCAGTGAATAAAGATTAGAATCCTTTTTCTTTATCAGGTTGCAATCTAATACCGACTTCATTTGTTCAGCTTTTGATATCCCTTGTATGTACAACTTGTTAATATTGGTGCTCAATTTTTCCATCTCTTTGGTCATCCAATCTCCGCCTCTTACACCCCACAACGTTTGTAAATCCTTGATCATATGCAACTTCAAGCTCTCCTTCGTGTTATTAGTCACTTCATTCGGCAGATACAAGTGCCTTAGCTTTTTCAACTTACACAACACATTGGGCAATCTTATACCACAGTTATCAACCGAAACATCCCAATAGTCTAAGGTCAATAAATTGCGCAACTTGCCAATGGTCCTAGGTAGTTCTCTTATGTTTGTTGACCGAATTCTTAAATATCGCAAATGAAATAAGTTGCCTATTTCTTTTGGCATCATACCATCGGAGGTTTTGATTCCATTGATATCTAACACTCTTAGCAATTTAAACTTCTCACACACAAGCGCTAAGTCCAATGTAATTGCCTTCTGCTTCCCTTTACTTCCACGTTTTCCAACTCCTTCGTAATCATGTAGAAAGAGAGATCTGAGATGTGAATTCTCCAGCGGAAGAATTGGGCACTTGCTGCACGGAAAATGCATATGAGTATTTACCACGGATATATAGTTATACTTGGCGCAATTGTCAATGCGCTAATTTGACGTTACATACATATATATGTGTAATTGAACATTAGAAAAAGAAAATTTTGATATTATAAAACTTTTATTAGTACTTATTTAACAAACATATTTCATGACAAAATTGTCAAAATTAATACACGAACAATGAAAAAAAATATTAAGCCTGTCAATTATTTTGGGACGAAGGGAGTATCAATTAGTCAATGTTACATAATATCATTTACCCTCTATTATCCCATCATCTCTATTATCCAATCAATAGCGCTACATATTTAATTTGATACGTTAATGTCAGCAAGAAATTTTATTATGTTATCGCTGCTCAAATTGTCAGGCTTAATTTATTATTTGCAATTTCTATGAAATTTCCTGTGTCGTGTCGTTAACGCAAGGTGCGGAGAATTTCACATGTATATAATTTTCTACCGATTATTTTGAGTGCATCACAGTATTATACGTCGCATAATATTGTACAATACGAATTAATCGTTACAAATGTCACAAATGTATTTAATATATTAAGAAGCCGAATAATGCTGAGAACTTTGACAGGGAAGTTTGAAAGGAAACTGTGCTTTGGGAAGAATCTACGGGTAGGTTTGTAATGTATGATATGACAACTTTTGGGACTTTATTATTTTCCTTAGCTTAATAATTAAACTTTGTCTTATACGAATGGTTCCTAATTACTTAATTATAGAGCCTTAATCAAGGCTATATATTCAGTCTCCAAATATAAAAAGAAAAATTATATATATTTTACGTGTGAGTTGTACTACCAAGCAAAGTTTGACGTAGATTGGTTTGTCAATTTGTCTAACATGATCAAAAGACCTTATTAGGGATTTCTTATTCTCGCTCCCTCCCACTCCAAAAGGGCCTGGCACGTCAAGGTTAAACTAGAGGATCGATCGTTGAAGAGATCATCAGATAAGGATTAGTTAGAGCATGCACCTAACCTATTCAAGATTAGGTGTCTTATGGACATAATCGTACTTGATCTGTATGTAGCTCATCAAGCTAAGCTTATAATTAAGTATTCGAGTACCTAAATCAACTATCTTAATACATACGAAGCATATGCTTCTATATGTATCTATATATGGTTTGGTTAATGCATAAAATTTAGAAAATAAGTGGAAATATGGTAGAGATATAAGATATCGGAAATTATAAAAAGTAATTCATACCGAATTGAATTTGAACGAAATAATCAAAGTGAAAAATCATACCTAAGATTCATAGCAGCTCGACGTGAATTGATCTTTGCTATTTGATCAGACTCATAATAACATACAGTGAGAAAGTCTATCTCCCGGGCTTGTTTGATACAAAGATCCCTCATGATATCATGAACTCGCAAAGTCTTGACTTTCCCAGTATAATTCCTGCCAACAACTTGAACCATTGTGTGGTTAATTAGCTGCTGCAGGAGACCTATTGCTGCTTCACCTTCAGATTTATTAACACCATTATTATCCTTGTATTGTTTTTGTACAAACCCCTCAGCGAGCCACATCCTGATCAATGTTCCGGCTTTGATCAAGAAATCTTCCGGGAAGAGGCCGAAATAGATAAAGCACGGCTTCAGGTGGTAATCCAGATCATGGTAGCTTAAGGCCAATATGTCATTTACAGGAAGGTATAAATCATTTGGACCTTCTTTGCTTACTAATAGTGAAAACACCCTTTCCCAACCTTGGATCGAGTCCTTAGTCTTAAGGAGCTTACCTAAGGCCACTATGGCTAACGGTAGACCTCCACACTTGCTTAACATCTCGGTTGCTAAACCGCTGTACTCTCGTGCTAGCTCTTTACCATCGTCACTACTAGATACCTTGTTAAATAGATCCCACCCGTAATCTTTATTAAGGAGTTGTACCTCATGGAGATACCACTGAATCTCATCTATCTTGAAGAAGCAGGTGTTGGGGGGTTCAAGCGGGTATTGGTATCGGCTAGTGATCACAATCTTGGTTATATCATAATCATTCTTACAGAAATCCCAGAAAGTCTGTTGATGGTTCTCGTGCTCACGTTTTATTAACATGGGAATCAGATTTTGGAGGGATTCCCAATCCCATACATCGTCCAACACAACAAGACATTTTTTCATTCTCAAGCAACTTGGGACTAGACGATGATCATGGTCAGACTCGTGGTTGTGATGCTGGCACTCAAACCGGAGCTTATTCATGTGTATTTCATTCGAAATTGTAGATACCACCTCAGAGGTTGTCCATCTCTGAGGAAGAGGCACCCACACTTGATACTTGAAATGCTTCTTGACCCTTGGGTCGTTGTAAATGTTCCTCGCAAGAGTTGTTTTTCCAGCACCTCCCATACCTACTATAGCAAGCGCATCAAGAGGGGCTTTTCCTTTCGGAGCTGTTAACATTTTCACCAGCCTTTCTACATCCTCCTCTATGCCAACCACAATTTCATCGTCGGCTTGGCGGTGCCCCTTGTTAGACTGCTGTGATCCAGCTGCCTTAGTATCCGTCGTGTACTCCTCTTCCCCCTCTTCCTCTGATCCCATTACATCTTCATCCGAATCTGTGCTCGCATCGGCGTTGTTGCTCCCTTCAATTTCTTCCAAGCCTCTTAATGAGTCCCCTAATTCTTTCTCTGGTGAGTCCGCAATCTGATCTTGTTTTTCCTTGTCGGTCTGCCTTTGTTTTTCTTTCTCCGAGTCTCCATCAAACCCATTTTTACGCTGTTTTTCCATCTCCGCCAACACCTCCTTCATCTCCTTACACAGCCTGCTCAACTGTTTTGAGGCTTGGCGGGCTCTGTAATTCCTGAGTAGTCCACGGCTTAGATTGCTGAAAGATTTAGCATCAGAGATGTAAGTATCAACCGCATCCTCTGCATCGTAAGCCAATTTTCTTAGGGTTGGTAACCATAAGAGAAACTTGTTCTTGTTGGCTTGTTCCTTGTTATCACAGAGGAATTTCGCAATGTTCGCTAGCTCCTCTTGCACGGCCTTGGCTTCGTTATGCACATCAGATAAATCCGATTCCATCAGCTTTTTGATGTGTTCTGCAGCAAACGAAACCACTGATTCTGCCATTGAACTCTCTTTTCACTTTATTAGATTTGTTTTCACTTCATTATCTCCATTTTGTTACTCCCTGCATAAGTATATGGCCGGAGGAGATACAGACGACTCAACCAAAAGAATTGATTCAATAATTTTATATTTTTTATTATTTAATGTTGTAATTTGACCTCCACACAATTTTGAGAATTATTGAGTGTTACAATTTCTTTATTACAAGTTACCATATTTAATACTTTTCTCTCTTTTTTTTTTTTTTTATTTTTTTATTTACTGCATCATTTTTCTTTTTGGGATATGGATGTTGTATATTAACACAATTTAATAGACCATATTACAATTTATTAGTAAGAAAAAGAAGTATTATTAAAGTCAGTTATAGTGTCTTACAATGTCGATCATTTTGATTTCTCAAAAAAAAAAAAAAAAAAATGTCAATCATTTTGAAATAGATCTGATGGCCTAGATTGGATAATGTTAAAATAAAACTTTTAGGAAAAAAGATTTTGGCTGAGGATGAAGGGTGTCTAATTTTCAGTTCACTTGGTGGCTTCCTTCACGAACATACACGAGACGTGGTAGATAAGTGGACTTAATTATTTTTAATTTTGGTCAGGAAGAAGTAAGAAATTAACGTGCTGATGAGTGGTGCTAAAGTGGCCTCCATGTTAATGAGTAAGATGGGTCAAAAAAAAAAATGTTACTCCGTAATTAGTATGAACATAAATTACGTCATAAACGGCATGAGATTGAATTACTGTCTTATGATTATTAGAGATATCAATGTATAAGATTTGGTTTGGGCAAAGTTTCACCTGTATCCATCAATCATTCCCTACCATTTGCTTCATCCATATCTACCGGTCACCCGGATCCCTTACATATCACCCACATTTATTATTCATCCATCATATGTGGATGATGAAATGGTTGAATTGTGTGACTAAAGGTGAATATATAACACTAATTAATACTCTTTTTGTTTTTTACTAAGTGTTTTACTTTCTTTTTTCGGCCGTTATTTAAAGTAATTGAAGTTTTAACAATATTGTTACTAAGTATATACTGTACTTATTAGTTATTGAATTAGTCTTCTAACGTTTGACACCGTTTGTTATTAGAGATCTTTAGAATAGATTGGGTATCTAAAGGCATCATTCACTAATATGTGTGTGAATATTCTTAGAAAAAGAGTAACAATATGCTTAGAAAAAAGAATGAACAATCCCTTAATATAGAAGTGTTGAAAACATCCGGTATCATCACCAGGACCTAAGAGCTAGCTTTTTCATCAGTGGAGTATGCGATCCTTTTGCTTCCTGAAAATGCCACAGTAATAAGTAGCTCCGATGTAACGATGGAGAAGGGGAAACATGAGCCTAGCCAAGTTATATAAAAGAATTGGAGCACCCACTGAAATCACAATGATAGCCCTCTTAAAACCGAACAAAAGGTAAATTGCTGAACTGAAGGCGACTGCCATGTTTAGTATTGAGAGAAAAAGCATTGTCAATCCGAAAATCAACCTCCTAGGAAGAAAGTGCAGAAAGTCTTTTTCGGTATACCGGGATGTTAAGATCTTCAAGAACGTTAGGACGGCGGTCACTGAAAAAAAGAGAGAGATGGCGTCTGTCACTGCAAATGCAGTAAAAGCCCAATGATGATACAAATTAGGACTCCCTTCACTTGATTCACCTCCCGGAACGTTCATTGCTGCACTGAAAACTATAGTTGTAATCAGGGTCGAAGCAACTGTGCAAGCGCTTGCTGTTTCTTTCATCCATTTTTCACCTTCTTTCATCAACTCTTGGTGTGTCTCACTAAAAACCATCCAAGGAGTTTTCCCCTCTTTATTTTTTTTTTCTTTCTGACCAGGCTGTACAAATTTCTCCACTTCCTGAAACGTGCACAATATATATATATATATATATATATATATATATATATATATATATATATATATATATATATATATATATATATATATTTACATATTACTAAATTCATCTGAACTCATTTAAACTTATTTTACTTTTAATCGTATTAAGTGGAATTTTTTAATGTGAACCTAACATGGCCTTAATTAACGTAATTTAGACTCTAAAGTCTAAACAATTAAACGTTGCAATATACACAATAATTACGTGGAAAGAAGCAAACCTGGAACCATTGCAGCTCTCGCTGAACTTGTAAAGCTGCACCCGAGACAAGTTTAAGGCGGTCTGGACGAGGCAATTGGCCAGCCAAATGTAATATGTTATTATCTTGTACGTCTAGATACCTTGTTACTAAATGCCTGTAACCACTCATCTGGTATATGAGATTGAAAACATTTTCCCGACGATGTAAGACAGCCAATTCAAACATGTTACGATTCTCATTATCGGCTGCCCATATTGCTGGAGGAAATGCCTTGACAATCTCTTCTATGATCTCATGAGTGCCTAACTTTGCTGCTATTAGGACCGGTTCTTGAATATAATTGAAAGCTTTGGAATCATCCATCTGCAAAATCTCCGTGCACAAGCTTTTAACTAGCTCCATTGCTTTATCTTCCTTCAATTTTCTTTTTTTGCATAGTCCGGAAAACTTCACTGTGACCCAAAAGTCATTGCATTTTAATAAAGGTCATAAAGGATTAATACATATATTTTATAAGGAAAATGCTATACATAACCCTTATGGTTATATATAAGCATTAAATACACACTAAAAAATCGTAAAAATTTAGAAAATCATAAAAATATAAACACTGATTTGCGTGTGCTTTTGTCATAAATTCCTAATTTTATATAATTTTCAAGAATATATTTAATGCTCATATGTACTCCAGCTCTTAGGGGCATATAGCATTATCCATTTTATAATGAGACTTTTAATGAACTAGCTTAGTCAATGTGAATATTAAAGGTAAACGCTATGTTAAAATTATGGTCACTGTATATTCAACATAACGTCGATTTACACGAGCGAGATAAGATCCGTAATAATATTATGATGAACCAAATCCACACAATTTAAGGTCATTATGTGCAATAAATATAACATTGTCTGGTACGTGTGGACCTCAACTCCAAATAATGTTATTGTGTATTAGGTCCAAACAAGTATTTTCCCTATTTCTCTCTCTTACAAATCATTAAGTAACTATATCACCACCGACTATACTTTCTATTATTAAATTCACGCTAAAAGTTTCCTATTACTTTGTGCAAGACCTAAATTATTACGAAACAAATAGAATAATATATTGATAGCATGGGATGAAAAAATGTTACAAGTAAAAAGAACCGAGGAAATATTTTATTACTTTTCTTTTCTTTATTACTCGCCCTAATGACTACATATAAGAAATTAATTCGTAAAAAAGAGAAAAGATCAAGAATAAATTGACATATAAGAAAGTAAAAAGAGCCGAGGAAATATTTGTATACTCGCCCTTATGGCTACATATAAGAAAGTGTTTCGTAAAAAAAAGATAAATGATCAAGAATAAATTGACATTAATTACATTGATCTATGTGTAAATTTGTCATTAATTACCAAATTTAACGAGTACCATTTAAGGAAATGCGGTAACACTTATAGCTCCTGTATCATTACCCAATTTTTAATTTGATTGTAAAAAAATACGAGTACTCCGTATTTGTCATGTATGCCCATAAATGAGTGCTACATTTTTTTTTATTTTTTTTTTTTGAAAGAATGAATGAGTGCTACATAAAATTGTGAAACATTTAATTGTCACAAAGCATCACCCAAAGAAAAATGCTTTAAAATAATATTGACATGATTATTAGTCTCTGAATTATCTTAAGTTACTTATGTTGTGTGAGACATTGCCAATGTTATCGCCAAAACTAAGACTTTTAATGCTACTAATTAACTTACCAGGATTGTAGAAATGTGGCTTCGAAGGTGTAAGTGTAACACCACATCCACTGGGGAAAGCACTAGAAATTCTCGCGAGCACAGTTAAGGGGGATTCCAATTCTATATCATGTCCGTCAGTTGTTGCCATATTAGGGTACCGGTTAACTAATTTAAGAGCAATATCTGTTTTGAGCTCAGAGAGCAACACAACATTAAGATCAGATCAAATCAGATTAGATATAATGTTATACTGCTACGCACACTGCATATGATCTTGAAAATATGCATACCATTCCAAAATCTCTAGAGATGAAGATGATCGATGACAAATTGACAACTAATTAATTAAGAACTAAATGACTCACCAAAAAATTCAGCATTAATAACGTGATTGAGAAGCTCAACACCAGATCTGCCTGTGAACGGACTTGGCTCAAATTGATCGCTAGTAACATCCCACAGATACCAAATCATATTTTCATGGCCATATTCCGCAGCTCTATGGATAGGGAAGCCAGATTTGCCAACAATATTAGGCAAGTCTGGATTCTTATCAACCAGTAATTTGGCAGCTTTAACATTGCCAGTTACTGCTGCCACTGAAAGGGCAGTTTCGCCATTTTGATCAGTTAAGGCCAAGTCTTCAGGGGACATCCTCCTTATTAGTGTCTCGACAAACTCATAATTTTTTTCTACTGCACCCACGGCTATATGAAGTGCTGTTTCTGAGGCTATTGTGATCTTCGCCGTCAATGCCCCTGGATCTTTGTCTAGAAATTTCGTTGCTTCGTTCCATTTACCTGCAATTGCAGCTTTGTACAATGGCAAGTAACCTGCCACACCCTTCAACTTGTTCTCTGTGTGCCCTCTTGCACGTTGAAACACTACAACATATGAGGCATGTTTTACTATAATTTAATTTGAGGGAGCCTCAGTTTCCCATTTCCCACATACCCTTTTTGTAAATAAACCAACAACTTTATTCAAGTTTATTCAATTATGGAGCCCATAATAATGAAAAAGTTGTTGATTTATTCACGAAAATGCCCCCATAAGACACAAATTTCGTTTCTCATTATGAGAAACAGGGAATTTCCCAATTTACATGTGTATTCTTTGATGTTGTTTGGATACCATCAGCAAAAACATACAACTAGTTTGCCTATTTATCGATGAGTTAACATTTTCAACCATAAAATACTTGACACTTTTCGAGAAGTGATACCCTCAATTCCGATAGATCCTTATGGGATCATAAGTTGCATATAACTTGTACGGAGTACTTGGTGGCTAATAGGGTATACATTTTAAAATAAAGAGATCCCCTCGCTCAAAGCACTAATTTATACATCTAACTAAACTTATTTGTATCACTAAGCTAAGGATTATTGAATGTCTTCACAAAAAATAGATAGATGATGAACTTAACCAGTATATTTTATTTATTAAGCTATACACATCACTATACTCCATAGAAGAGTTTTCTCAGCAAAAAATTGTACTCGTAATATAATTATCATCTCTGGTTTAAAATAAAACTCCATATTTGATTATCAAAGATATCTTAAATCATAGATCAATACGTACGTAATGCATGGTCGTATTAATTACAGCCCTGTTTCATTATTTGTTAAAAAAATAAAAATTGATTATCGAACAGCCTGGATGTACATCTGGTGACATAATATATACAATTGAATATAAAAATAATTTATTATTTGAGGAATCTAGAACATGATAATGATTATGAAAACAGGTAACAATCATTCATTTATTGGATCGTGTAATTTAGGTCAAGACATTTTTTGATAAGATTTTTTTTCGATTTGATTTCGATCGTGAAAACATGATGATTATTGGGTGATAATTTTCTATTTTATTGCTAATAAGTTAAATTTAATGAAATACCGGCCCCTCTGTAAATAGGAAGGATACTTAACAATAAAATGATGATTGGGTCATAATTTTCGATTATTGCTAATACGTCTTGTTTGGGTCCAATTTAGTCAAAATTGGGCCTGAGCACTAAATGATCCAATTAAAAGCCCAAGGTCAAGGTTCAACTCTCCAATTGCTCAAAAGTCAAAAGTCAGCCCACAAAGTAAGCCAATTGGGCTAAAGCCCAACCTCTCCAAGTATGACAAGGTATAAAAGCCATCATATTAACACATTCAAAAGGACATCACATACATTATCACATACATTATCTCATACACTGATTATTCCAATTCATATGCTCATTCTTGCATTGAGAAATACTCCACAAAAGCCTCAAGCTACAAACTCTCTTGCATAGTGTCTTCCTTTTTACACATTGTACTGACTTTAGCATCGGAGGGGCCTTCCTCGGAAACACCCCCGAGGCTAGTTTACGTGTGTTCACTGTGCAGGAAACCTTCGGCCCAACACAGCTTGGATCGAATCCAGTCTTCTCCATTTCAGTGGACCTTCGGCAAGGTCCCATTGTTTTCAACCGAAACAATTTGGCGCCGTCTGTGGGGAAGACTTTCAAAAATCTTTAAGCCAAATTCCTAACCAAGATCATCTTGCAATTATCTTAGCAGCCATGGCTAAGAACCGCAAGAGCAAAAGCCTCCGTCAAGGAGCGGGCGAAAAGCCTAAAACCCCTACACCATCGCCCTCGCCGGACCGGAACTCTCCCAAGGGTGCCGGCTCGGGGGGAGGATCACACAAGGAGGATTCCCTATCTCCTATAATGCATGACTCTCAATATAGGCCGGACCACTCTCGGTCTAGCAGGGGTCAGTCTGATCATAGGACATATTCAGTGTCCCGAAGCCAACCATCGGCTGCACGGCCTCATGTCCACACTCGGCCGGGGACCCCTTTGACGGGGCCCAGTTCGGAAGAGGTGGCAAGAGCGCTGGCAGTACTCATGGAGGCAATGAGGGCACAGAATATGCCACCGCCTCGTGATCGAACTCCTCCGCATACCCGGCATCAGCGGAGGAAGTTAGACCATGACGGTGGGAAGCTTCCTTCCTTCCGGGAACTGGAAGAGTGGGAGGAGGATTCTTGGAAAAATGAAAAACAGAGGAAGAAGAACTCTCAATTATTTAAAGGATCCTCATCCTCAAGACCAGCAGCGCATAAGAGCAGCAGCTCAGCTTCTCGGCCAGAATCTACTCGCCGGGAACCCGAGACTGCTCGCAGAAGCGTCCTTGACCGACTCGGCGGCCAGGAACCGAGCGTGCGTAGTCGCCTCTCGTTCCCTGTAGCCGAGGCCCAGACTTCCCAGCCAGGGACGAAAACCACTCCTACCTCTCTAAGAGGGCGGAGCGCGGTCCCTTCGGCCAGGAACAAGGGCAAGGCCATTATGCTACCCGCTAGTTCACCATTCGAGCAATGGATACTGGAAGAGCGCGTACCCACGGTTAAAATACCGTCGCATATCACATATGACGGGACCACGGATCCGAAGGACCACGTGGCCTCGTATGAGACTCATATGCATCTTTGCCCCAGATCCGAGGCGACTTGGTGCAAATATTTCCCAACCACTCTCAAGGGGGTCGCGCAAGCGTGGATCTCCAAGGGAGTAAGGCAAGGCTCCATAACAGGTTGGGATGATCTGTCCTCCAAGTTCAGGAGCAAGTTTTCCACGGCAAACCGCCGAGAGAAGACTACCGCAGAGCTCATGGGTCTGCAACAGGGGGAAACTGAAAGCCTCCGAGACTACCTGACCCGTTTCAGTAACGAGTCATCAAGCGTCTCTCAGCTGGACCAGGGGCTAGCTGTTTTTGCAATGCAGAATGGCCTTCAGCCAGGAAAATTCCTAGACTTCATGGTCATGCATACCCCGCAGACCTTGGAGGAAGCTCTTAGTGCTTCGGATAAGTTCATCCGAGCCGAAGAATGGAATAAAGCAAAAACCCAACCTCAATCCGGGGGAGGGAAACAGAGGCAAATACCCTTGTCTGAAGGCCAAGGCCATAAGGCAAAGGGAAAATCAAAGGCCTCGGAGCCATCTTCGGCCAACGACCTAAAGAAGGACAGGTTTGCCTCATACACAGGCAGATACGAGTCCTACACTCCGCTCTCTCTTCCACGCGCCAAAATTTACAGTGTGACGAAGGAGGAGCAGAGTTACCGAAAGCCGAGACCACTCCCAGAGTGGTATCAGCGAAAAAATAAAAATCAGTGGTGTGAGTTCCACGATTCTTCGGGCCACAACACTGAGGAGTGTATCCAGCTGAAGGACCAGATAGAAGACATGGTCCGGAAGGGATACTTGAAAAAATACATCGCGGATCACCGCGAGAAAAAAGAATCCGAAAGGTTAGCAAAGGACCCTCGGCAGGACCTTGATTTCCCTCGGAAAAACAGTAAAAAACCGGAGGGGAAATTCCCTCCGATCAATGTTATCTCGGGAGGAATATACTCTCGGAGGGAGCACAAGCGTCACCTTAGAGCTTTGACTCACCAGGTGAACAACGCTGACATTCAATCTCCCCAGTCGCCGGTGCCGAACATGACGTTCACAGCCGCCGACTGCCGGGGGATTACGTTCCCTCACGAGGATCCGTTGGTGATCATCGCCACGGTGGCCAACCACGACGTCAGTAAGGTCCTTGTTGACGGTGGCAGCGGAGCAAACATTCTGTTCCGAAAGGCCTACAACCAAATTAAGCTGAAGCCCAAGCACCTTACGCCGGTACCCTATCCGGTATCCGGGTTCAATGGGGCTTCAACTTATCCAGATGGGAAGGTGACACTTCCTGTCACCATCGGTTGCGATGAGGCAGCCCGGAACGTCATGATTGAGTTTTTGGTCATCGACGCTCCTTCAGTGTACAACGTGATTTTGGGGAGACCCATAATTCACGAGATCCAAGGGGTCGTCTCAACTTATCATCAGCTGATGATTTATGTCTCAGACGCCGGCTTCCCCGAAAGGATACAGGGCAACCAGAAGGACGCCCGAAGGTGCAACTACCTCAAGCCATCCAGTAGTCGCCCAGATAACGACAAGGATGAGGAGGAGAAAGAAAAAGAAAGAGAGCCAAGCACAAAAAAGCCGAAAGGCCTAAGTGCTTCGGCCCAAGGATCAGTGCCCAGAGAAAAAGGTCCCGAAAGGGAAAAGGTTGACTCTTCATCTGAGCCGAAAGACTCAGAGAGCCAGCCGAAGAACACAAAGACTGGGACACCTGCTGACATTGGCAGCAGACCAGATTCTGAAGAGTCCAGTCCATCGGCAATGGACATGGACCAACAGACTGAAACAGCAGAGTTGGCCGAAGGAGATGCTGAGAAATGTGTAACAATCGGGATGGACCTTGATCCTAACACCCGTTGTGAACTTATTCAGCTCCTGCGGGATAACAGAGATGTGTTTGCTTTCTCGACAGCTGATATGCCCGGGATAAGTTCAGACCTCATCTCCCATAACCGAAGGGTCCATGCAAGGCCTCTCAAAATTGGGGATCTTGTCCTTCGGAATGCTGCTGCAGTTCAGAAAGGCCGAATCCATGGGAAGCTCTCAGCTACATGGGAGGGACCTTATGAAATTTATGATGAGCTTCAGCCAGGGACATACCGACTTCGGCAGTTGGATGGAACTGAGTTGAAGAATCACTGGAATGCTGATGTACTGAAAAAATACCATGTGTAAACCCTTCGGGGCAGAACAATCTTTGTAAGTACATTTTGAACTAATGACAGGCCTTGGAGCCGCCATTTATATAAAATTTACAACTTTTTATCCTTTCAAAATTTTCTTTGTTCTATCTACTCTTTGAGGGTTTTTTATTCAGCCTCGTCTGAAGCCTTCGCCTTCGGGTAACTGGGTTTTCAGTATGGCTTTACAAAAACTCAGTCTTTTTAAAGAAACACTGGTCTTTCAGCTGAAATCAAACATCAGTAA